GAGGAGGAGGAGAGGAGGAGGAGGAGGACGGAGGAGGAGGAGGAGGAGGAGAGAGGAGAGGGGGGGGGGGGAGGGTGGTGGTGGAAGAGGAGAAGCAGAGAAAGGATGAAGCAAGGAGTAGAGTTGGATATGACGATGGCACCGTGGATAAAAGAGACGCACAAAGATTGGGAAGGAGAAGGAGGAGGAGAAGGAGGAGGACGAGGAGGAAGATGGAAGAGGGTATGGGGCAGGTGCAGGAGGAGCAGCTGACCTTGCGGTGGTGGGTGAGGTACATGAGCAGCAGGGCGTCCTTGTCGTCCTGCGTCTCCTCCAACGCCATCTGCGCGCCTGCCATACAAGGATCAGGAGGAAGAGAAATAGAAGGAGGGGGAGGGGAGGGAGGAGAGCGCGGTGAGGAGAAGACTGAGCATGGACGCAGTAAGGAGAGCAGGGGGTAGTGGGATCAAGAAACGAGGACGGGGAGAAGGAGAATGAGACGGAGGAGAGAGAGGGGAGGAGAGAGGAGCAGGAGGAGGTGAAAGATCGATGAAATACCTCGAACAGCCTCATACTCTGAGGAAAGTTTTCGTTTGAGGAGCAGAATGCGATTCAACAGCTGAAAAACGTTTCAGTGCAAATATGAGAAGAAAAAAGGGAAGGAGAAGAGGAGGAACAGGAGGAAGAGAAGGAGACAGTAGATTAGGTGGTGGTGGTGGTGGAGGAGGAGACAGTAGATTAGGTGGTGGTGGAGGAGGTGGAGGAGGAGACAGTAGATTAGGTGGGGGTGGAGGAGGAGGAAGAGAAGGAGACAGTAGATTAGGTGGTGGTGGTGGTGGTGGAGGAGACAGTAGATTAGGTGGTGGTGGATCAGGTGGAGGAGGAGACAGTAGATAAGGTGGTGGTGGAGGAGGTGGAGGAGGAGACAGTAGATTAGGTGGTGGTGGAGGAGGTGGAGGAGGACCTCGTTGGATAGGTGGCTCCTAATTCCGTGAAGCATCTCCTGCGCTACCTCTGTCTTGTCGTCACTCGCTTGCCTGTCCTCCTCTTCCCTCACCCGCGTGCTTCGACACGATTCGACGATGATGCTCGTACAAGGTGAGTAGAAGTGCTGCTCAGCTGCTCAGCTCCCTCTCCTCCTGCTCTTGCTCCTGCTCCTGCTCCTGCTCCTGCTTATCCTCCCACTCCCACTCCTGCTCCTGCTCCTGCTCCTGCTTATCCTCCCACTCCCACTCCTGCTCCTGCTCCTGCTCCTGCTCCTGCTCCTGCTCCTGCTCCTGCTCCTGCTCCTGCTCCTGCTTCTGCTCTTGTCTTCCCTCGCTTGCTCGAAACATTTTTCACTTATCTCTTTCCCTCCACCCCCATCTCCTGCTCCTCCTGTTCTCCCTTGTCCTCCCCGATCTCATTCTCACCTTCCAGCGCTACAAATTCGAAGTCGATCATGCCGCAGCTCTGCAGTCTGTCGTGAGAGGGCAGGAGAACGACAGGAAGGAGGTGGAGAGCATCTGGATAGCAGATAGGAGGAAAAAATCACATCTTCAGTCCCGCGAAGCTTCTGAACTCGATGCAGCAGCGGCTCCAGCAAGTCGTCGGCCCCGTCGGGCACTACCACGAACGCTTGCTGCAGTCGAGTTAAGATCAGTCTCCTGCATCTCGTCCCCCCCCCTTCCCCACTCCCAAGGACCTCTCCTCCTCCACCACCCCCGCGCCTCCTTCAGCATGACCCAGCTCCTCTTGCTCCGCATTGCTCTCCCGCCCCCCTCTCTCCCTCTGCCCCTCCCTATCACCTGCGATGTCACAACAGCGTTGAGCGGAGAGCAGCTGAGAACAATCGCTCCTCCTCGCACGAGCAGCGCAGACTCGCTTCCAGCTTGGAGAGCACGGAGATCTCTGGTTAGGAAAAGATTAGAGGAGCAATGGAGGAGCGGAGCCGAAGACTTAATGGTTGGGAATGTGAAAAGATGAAACAAGTAGAAGGATGGGGAACAGGAGAAACAGGAGGAGAAAGTGTACATAGATGAAGAACAGGGTGAGAGAGGTAGGGGCACAGGGAGAAGGAAGAGGAGGAAAAGTAGGCTAGAGAAAGGGAAGACGGCGCAGGAGCAACAAGAGCAAGCCAGAAAGGAGAATGAGGAGGAAGAGGTTGAGAGAGAGGTTGAGAGAGAGAGAG